AGCATGCTTTTGTCTCACTTACTAGTAACATAACCTAAGCCTATTTAGAAATTACCTTAAGCCTATTTAGTAAATTACCGGTAAAATAGGCTTAAGTCAAGCCTATTTAAATTACCCTGCAAAAAGACTTGCAAGTCAATAGGCAAAGTCTATTTTTAGCTTGCAAGTCTAAAGCTAAAAAAATGACTTGCTGGATCCTTAGGGTTAATTCTTTGCCCCATGGCGACCTGCCGATGCCAGTTTGCTACCCTATCCACCGACGAGCTGATATCTCCTGACAGGGAATGAATCCAAAAATCGACCCTGGCCAGCTCTATTGCACAGTCCAGGGGACGATACTTGCTTGGAAAAGTGTACTCCGGAGAGGCCGGTGCAGTCTGGGCTCCTGTTACTGCCAACACCATGTTGATTGGGCTTCTAGTCATGGCTACGGCCTCTGTGATAATGCTTGCCAATGGTGGGGCATTGGTGATGGAGGCGGCGCCATCCATCTTATAGCCTTTAGGAAGCTCAGGTGCCTTGGCAATCTTAGGGAAGCCGACGTTAATTTGTGTTTTCTTCGGCGCTCTGCGAAGGGATCTGCAGACCAGGCCGCTACAGACCTGGCCAGAGGCCGTGACTGCAGCTACCATGCGCGTGACAACTGTGATGAGGTCAGTGTTTGGCCATTGGGCAGGAAGGACCAGTGAGTGTCGGAAAAAGATTCCTACATCTTTGCCCTCCCTTCGTTTTTCCTCTTGTCGCGTAAACTGCGGATGTGGGGGAAGCGCATTACCTGTCTGGACTGCGGCACTCAACCTTTCTGCGTGCCCCAAATCAGGGGCATCAGTGGCCAGAGCATGGCCTGTAAGGGCCGGGCCCGAGCTAGTGGAGGGAGCGACCGCTCGTGTGGCAGCCGAGACTAAAAAAACCGCAGCCGCGACAGAAATGGCAATTTTGAAAGAGGGAGTGTCGTTGGTCACTCTTTCCCCACGCCATCTTCTGGCTATGCCTTTAGCAAACATGCTGGGAAACTCGTTGGGCCGTCTCCTGTGCTTCAGGGTTATCGGCTGCTGCTGATCCCTGGGTGGCTAGAGCAGGTTCCAGCCGTTGGACTGGTTTTTTGAGCTGCTTCCACAAGGCTGCCTCCCGCGAATTTTGGAGGAAAACATCGCAAATCTCTAACCTTCGTTCGGCTGGTGCCAAGGCATCCTCCGGGCGAGACTGCAATGTCACCTGTGGTCGGGGAGGTGTTGCGAACTTTTCCACCGCGGCATTCCGGGGCGTGAGACGGAAAACCCACCTTCCTCATGGGGCAGGAAGGCCTTTTTCCGGGTCAGCCGAAATCTCCAACCTCTGTGGTCCTGAAAGGCAACTAGGCTGGTTGGTCTTGGGGCAAACCGAAACTCCATCCCAGGCCCCGATCCACTCCGCTAGGTGGCTGGGGACATGACTTGCAAACACCGACAAGCGAGGTCTCCTCCTGCTGGCTCTAAATGAAGATGATCCTCCAGCCACTGCTTCGTCAATCGCTTACCTTCTCCTAGAGTAGGTGGGGGCGTCACTGACGTGGATGGAATGCTAAAGGACAAATTGAGAAAGGGTACAGTAATAAGAAGCCTCTCGTTTTCTCCACTGTTCCAGCAAACAAGTACCACTGTCCCTGGGAGGTATAGGGCCTAAGGCGAACCAACACTGAGCCACCGCTGGGGACCGCTGACTTCCGCTCCAAGTCGCCCAGCGGTTCCATCAAGGCTGGTGGCGGCCTGATTGGAGCGACCCTTCGGGATGTGCAAATCGCACAGCCCGATCATCGCCTCGATTATGCACCTGACGAACTGACGAGGTTAACTCAGTAGAGGACTTTGGGGTTCTGGGTCCAGTGCTAGCGGGGCTTAAACTTCTCGCGGTTTCTGCAAGATGTTTCCTGCAGAGGGCAGCACTCCGATGTGCTCCATGCACTGCTCCATAGCAGGAAAGCACGCTGCACCTTCTTCCTTGACATGAGTGTTGCCTCCGAGATCAGAGAGCTCCTGATCCCTATCCAAAAGCCGAGTAGGTTCGGAGGCAGCTCTGTCCCCGCAATCTTCGACTGCGAGCGAGGCCTAAATGCACTGCGTGGCAAGGGTCTTCGACTACCTCAGCCTCAGACTCAGAATCTGGGCCGAGAGCCCTCAGTACACCTTGTTCCTGAATTTGGCGAGTCGATCCGCTTCGGCTGGGTCGACGTGACGTTGGGTGGCGGCAACACCAGAGTAGACACCCACGCAGTATGTCACCCAACCTTCTCCCAAGGCGGCCTAGGAGAACTCCAGCTCTTGGAACGCCCGTAGGCACCCAAGTCAACGAGAGCCTCCGAGTCCACTGCTGCGTAGCACCTACAGTGAACGGCCGAGGGATTGGAACAATCTGCAGCCCGGCAAAGGTGCACGCAATGGTTGCGTTCCAACTCTTCTCGCAAGCGACGGTCGGTCGCACCAAGGACTCTAGTATGACGAACCGTGAGCCCGGTCCGGTCTATGCGGGACCCCCCTTCCGAGGCGGGCTGCCCCCGAGGGCATCTTGACCAAGACGTCGTTGGGTTTCGCGGATCTTGTTCTGAAAGAACTCTGTATTCGCTGCCCTATAGAGGCCTCGGCTCCAGCGAACTCGGGCTCGATGTACCCCCAGCTAACCTCGACTGAGGGTAAAGCTGCAGCAGCCGCTGGGACCGCCGGGATTCGCCCGTTCAGGAAGTCGGCGGGTCCAGCCCTCAGCAGCAGCAAAGGTATTGCCGAAGAACTTTGACTGACCAAGCCAAACCTGCTAAGAAACACAGCCCGAGTATAGATAGGAAGCTCCAGGCTAATGTGGGCCAGTAGTTCCCGAAACACCAGAGCCCTGTGCGATCCACGAGGTAGGTGGCCCATCCGCCTCCAGTACTAGCGTTACCATGTCGGAGGCGGGCCGAGAAGACTCGACACGTGGCCCACTCCACTAGCAGTGAGATACTCCACCAACCCCAATGGAGGTCTCCTTCAACTTCGGGTTCAGGAGGGGGTCGAGGAGGGAGAGCGTCCCACCAGCTCCAGCGAGAAGAGCTGGAAGCAAACGAGCCGGCCTTGGGGTTCTCTCCCCTTTTTGGGGGGCTCCCATGGGGGAAAACCTTGGACGGAACGTCCCCGAGTGTCTGGAACCCGCTGGTATTGGTAGCATTGTACGCGTTCCAGCCGAGAAGGGCGGAACGCCCGTTGCCCCAAGCAAACCATCCGGACACGGCGGGGAACACCAACAGTCCAAGGCGCATTCCTATCACCATGGCTTATGACACTGTCCTCTTCACTACGAAAATGCTTGAGCAAAAAATCTTGTGCCAAACAGGAGCGTCGCTGGCAGAACTCTACGTTATAGCTAACAACCAATTCTGCTGCATCAGCTGCTCGGCTACTGGCTAGAGCTGCTTTCAACAATAAACCTCCTCCACACTGCAGTCGCTGCAGCAGGTTCCCATGGCGGCAAACGTGTAAAAAGAAACCGGAACCGGATATCGACAAAAGCTGTCCCAAACGTTCAAGGCACGCGCACAAACAAGAGTTCTTCAAGAAGCTCGGTCTGCCTATTCGACAGATCATGCTGGATGAAGCATGCGTGTTGGGAACGCAGCCATTAATTTTCGCAAAGGCATGTTCAGCTATGCTGCATTAATACATGCACCTGACAAGACCAATTGATAGGTGCTTGGAACATGTTTTCCCTTGCTTCGCAGGAATTTGCAGATCTGCGCGCTCTCAGTCAGATAGCTCAATGGCCACTGCCTGGTGGAGGTCTACCTGCAGAAGATTGCTACACATTCCACACGATCTTGCCTGCACATCTCTCGCACTCTCGGTCCTCCCTCCTCCCGAATAGGCGCCTCAGAAACTCCCTCCTGCAGAGGTTGAAGACATGCCACACTTGCTTGCAGCTTGCAAACTGTTCAGGAAACAAATCTGGCGGTCTCTGGCTGTCTGCAAATCTCCTGGCGGTACAGGTCAACAAGATCCGCGGTCGACCTGTTCAGCAAGTGTCCTCCTGTTTTCTGGGACCTACTTTCTCCGGGCCTCAAGAAGAACCAAGGTGCAGCTATCACCCTAAACTTCCACGGCTCGTCTTGGAGGAAGTCATACAGCGCTCGTAGTTCCTGCATAGGACTTGGGACACATTCAAAGGTGTTTGCAGTGCTTTGCAGTGCTTTGCAGTGCTGTGCAGTGCTGTCCTGGCTCTCAAAGTGTGGGAAGTTCACCAGCTCGTCCTGTGTTGCAAATGGGCTTACACCAACTTACGGAGCTCCCTTAAGGCGCATGTGCATGTCACATTCTGTTACATGCTGCAATCTGCTGCTGGGCTCCGGGCAAAAACCACAAGACTTCTTGGCCGCAGAAACGGAGCAAGTGCCCGAAGGACTTCCTCGGGCAAACAAAGAACAGATCAACAAAAGAAAGTGCTGTAAGCAAAAGTCAAGCTGCCACTGCTGAGCTGTAGAGATCCTTAGGTATGACGGACTTTGGGCAAGGCTCCTCTGGTTTACTCAGGTTGTGTCTTTTTTAAAAATCAAATCTCTCCCAGCGTCGCAGTCCACGTGAAGCAGCCGCACCTTGCGCAGTTTCAAGCGGTGAGAACAGGGGTCCAACAAAAGGACCACAACACTTTCTTTTCAAGAAAGGCGGAGGAGACAAGGCACCCAGGGGTCGCCATTGCCAAGTTGGCCCGCAGCCAAGCTCGCTACAAAGGCAGGCAGCGTCTCGTTGAACCAGCCACCTCAGCAAACAGCTTCTTAGTAAGCTTCCTATGTGGATGTCTGTAGCTATGGTCTACGTGTGAATGTCAATGTGAGAGCGCGAAGGCAGAATGCAGGAGCGCATGGAAGCATGGCAGCAAGTAGCAAAAATCTTTACACATGTGGTGTGTTAGTGAGCGCGTTAAACAAAGTCGGTGAACTACACTTCGCATGCACGGTACGGCTGCTTTTGAAGACCTTCGGCTTAGATGTACGATGTACATCTCTATGACGCCAAAACCATGCCGGCTGCTCGAACCAGCCTCACGTTGCTTTCAACTTCCGGCTCCTCCATACCAGTGTTAAAACAGAGAATCTCTCATGTCAAATGTCAAATCCCCACCTTCTCCAAAGCAAAACTGCTTTGGCCAAACGTCAAGCCACCGGGGACATCCGAATTGTTTCGCCAAGCCTCCAGCCGCTCAAAGCCGAGGTTGAAAGGCAACTGCATCAGCATGGCCTCTGGCAGGCCACGGAAGGAGTCGAAGCCGAAGACCAGCGAGCCTTTGTCTGAATAGCCAACAACTGGCAGGCAACAGCCTCTTATTGGTGTTGAAGACAGCAAGATCTTCAAGCAACGTTCAGGCCAGGTTTGATGATGCCTGGATCCAGGCTGCGCAGCTGGCGAGCAATGAAGTTGATGCTGGTGCCCTGAAGAAGGGCAGACTGGTAGGTCCGGTGGATGGTGTCTCGTATGTTGCGGGTGGCGAGCGTGTAGTAGAAACTCTGGACAAAGCTAGAAGAAAGCAGAATGAGTGAGATTGAGTTTCAAGATATATTCGCAGACCGCATCATCAGTACGGGAAATCCGTATCCTGGGGAGAATGGAACTGCGGGAAAGTCGATTTCAGAGTAGGGCGCAGGGCGCTTGAAGTTGCTTTCAGCAACACCGGCTGCAGCAGCAGCATCAGCAGATCTTTTCTCTGCCGATTCTTGTTTTTATCGTGGTCATTGTGCCGCGTGCCACTCCTGATAATATTCTTCTAGAAGCAATGCGTTGTTGACGCTCCCGATCCTCGTACTCTTGATCCGTTTCTTCGGGAGCAAAATCTCATCCTGCAAATTGTAGTTCATGTCGACCTCATCCGAAGCCCTGTCTGTGCTCCCTGGCCTCCTTCAAAGCTTCATTCTCTTCTGCCACAACCGGCCCTTCTGGCATAGGACCTTCTCTCAGGTATCTTTTAAAAACTCTGTGACCCACAAGCGGGCAATAAGTTTGGTGGATCAGTGAGTCAGTGAGAGGCCGCTTGTCTCGTGCCTTCTGGTGGCCTGAACGCCAAAACATGCCAGCCGTGCTTGCTATAAAACGCAAGACTTTTGATGTTTTGGTCCAAATGGCTGTGCAAAACCTGCTCCATTTACTGCTGCCATGGAGAAAGACAAGGAGGTGGAGACCGAGTAGCAGGAGTGCAAGCACAAAAGCTGCACTTTGAAACCTCAAAACAGCAAATGTTCACTGCTCCTTTAGCTTCTCGTGCTGGTGACTCCTGCCTCGAAGACTCCAAATTCCAAATACATAGGCCGCCCTCGTATCTCCTGGATCTCATCGGCGTGCTGCTGCAACACCTTGGCTTCTTGGGCTTTTCCGCTTCCACAGTTTGCGCCATTTAGACTGTTAATGTCCGCATCGCTTTCTTCAGGCGGCTGCCTTGGCCAGAATGTACGGAGCACCTCCATTGCCCCAGGGCATTTGAAGAGTTGGTGTCATTGACAATTCGTCTGCCAGCGCTGTCCAAAAGTCCGAGAACTGGCCCTGGTTCCCCGAAATCAACCTTCCGGCTCGATTCGACTCACTCTTCGAGTCACGCTTCCAAAAGCAGCCCAACAAGGATGAGAAGGTTTTTGAAGCATTCACTTCTGCCAGAGAGTCCAGGTGAGTCCAGGCTCTCAACAGCCTGCACGCTGTGTTCAAAGCCGTTGTGCTGGTTACGGTGTTCACCTCGCCGTTGTCAGTTTCGCTCCAAGCCCGCCAGGCGGTTGCCAGTTCCCGAGCTCGGGCCAGGTGAACGTCTTTGCCAGCGCCGAACTGACTAAACTTAAACGCCCTTGCCACTTCTGCAGCAATGAAGGGCAAGGGACAGCTCTGGAAGGGCTCAAAAAGATGCGCCCAGCCAATTGCTCCTGCGCCAACACGGCGGCCAAATCCTGAGCACAGAGGATATTTCCACCAATGCTTTCCACAGCCATTCCGAAGGCTGGCTG